GACGGCTTGTTTGTTTGATTGTCTCTGCAATGTTTGTCCTCTTTTTTTTTTTTTTTTAATTTACAATAACTTCCATTCAAAGAAACCGGCTGCTGTCACTGCAAGTCAGAATTTTTTATTTATATATTTTTTTTAAATAGTGCCGTCTTCAACCTCAGGCGGGTCATTTCGACCCGTTTGAGACCCGAATAGAAATCCGACGATTTCTCATGATTTCGACGTCCAAAATTTACATATTTTATATCAAAATTCTCAGAATTTAATTTCCTAATGATTTATGATGTGATTTTTCATCAAAACCGTATAAAACACAAACTTGAAATCCAAGAGAAACATTCTGTAAATTTTTCTGAAAAAAACCAAAGAGAGCAAACGAGCAAGACAGAGGTAAAACGTGCTCTGATATCAAATGTAAGAATATCTTGAACGATCTAATCATGCTTAACAATCCTATATAGCAATTAGATCAATGCGGAATTGAAGAATTGGACCAAAAACATACCTCCCGTCATTGCTGTTGTCTCATACATGCTCGAGGGTATTGGAGATGATTTATTGAGGATCTTCTAAACCTTATCTCTCTCAAAACCGATGGTGTGTTCACTGAATAGAGAAAGTAGGCTTAGGGACCCAAAACTTAGTTTTTCACTGCCTTTATACATGCTCCACCCATCATGGAGCCGTTCCAAAGGTGTGCAGTTAATGGGAGCGGTTTTGAACGTTATGGAATGGCAAAAATCGTTCCTAATTGATGAAATGAATGTGGACCATTTTCCGAGTTTGTTCTCAAAAACGGCTACGGGAGAAGAAAAACCAACACATACTACTTAAATGAAGGGTATTTTTCATTTTAACAATTAAAGGACATTTTTAAAAATTTCAAAAGCTCAAGGCCTATCCATAAGCTCTCTACCATGACTTCTGGGAGGCACATTCTGCGATTTACCTTCTCCACAATGATCCAGAACAGAGTTTGTTGGGGGTTGGAGTTCAACCTTTTAAAAATTCCTCCAAATCCAAACCTCGTAGTTTTCCTCTACTGACATGCCCACAACCTGACCTTCCACTCTTCCCTGCTAAAACCTCAGGTCCTTTCTCCTCTTCTCGCGTTTCAAAATTCTGACAAAAAGGCAAAAAAATAAAAAAAATGGTGAGTAAAAGATAGAGAACAGCCAGAAAATGAAGCA